ATCAAAATTACTTCACATTGGCTTGGAACTTGTACAGACAATCAGGTAGGAAAAAAATATTTACATTTGGCACATCACATTCACTCCTTTATTAAAATATAGGAGTTGTAAACATGTTTGTTGTAAATGTTTTGTAAAGTAAACTAGTGCCACTATACATTCAACTTCATACAATAAGTTCCACAATCTTCTCTCTAACATGAAGACAAAGTCATAAAATTGTATTTAAAACAAACCAAAAAAAAGTCCTTTAAATGGAAATTTGCAAATATAGAAACATTCAGTCTTAAAATAAAGTGATTCTAGAAGGAGCTGACAGGGGAAACCAGTGTGCAGACAGACAGAAAAAAAAAAAAAAACACATCTCGGATGGTAGCAGCAACATTTCAGATTATAAATTAGAACGCACGTTTAGTCCCACTGAATATTTTCAAAGGCTTGTTCTCTACCAATACATGATGCATTATTTTAAAAATGACCATAGGCAGAAACCTCATCATGGTCATTTCAGTGGAAAACCAAATTCCCCCACAACCATAAACTGAACTCTCCCAAATGTGACCACGTGTGATATACATGATGCATATGTAAACTGTGCATTTTACTAAAGACTCAAGCAACAAACACCATTGTAAAGACAACTAAAGTTTAACCACTCTGTCAGACACCAATTCAATGCTCACAGACAGAAAACCAGAAAGGAACCATTTCATACCGACTCTACATGTGTTATTCAAAGGTTAATGAGTCTAGATCAATCATTCCTCCGCTAGCACTACATACCGTAACTTCAGTTCATCAGTGCTGCAATGAACTAATGACAAAAACACGCACAGAATGAGAGAGAAAACATGGGCGTCGTCCTTCAGGAGAATTCCAGCCTTAAAAATGCCCATTTTAAACTTCTACGAACCGGTCCAACCAGTCAGCACGGATAATTCAAGTTTCTGTAACATCATGAGGAAACAAAACTATCATGCAGTAATACCTACACACCCGAAAGGACCTACAGAAAATTTAATGGTGTGGCCATTTAAAATAGGACTTTGTTCTATGGACATATGTACATTTAACCATGACTCTTTTGACAAATTCTTCACTCGTTCTCAAACTACAAACAGATTTTGGATCTCAGCACACACACTACAACGTACACCTCTGTCTCAGCTGGGGTTCAGGGTTACCAAACATGGACTTTTGAAGATTAAAAATGGTGACCTGTCCTGCAGTCTTACAAAGCAGTCATTTGACACAGAAAATTCAAAATCACCCTCCAAAAAAAAATGTTTGAAAGTTCTTCAAAATCATTAAAGTTCTCAACAACATAGAGAGCCATTTTTGATTAATACCAGAATAGATTGAACAAACACAGAACAAACCCTGAAACAGCTTGAGGCAAAGCCAGATTATAATAACTGTTGGCATCATTGTTCACCTTGCTTTAAAAAAAAAACATTAAATAAATAATAACAATAATATATATTTTTTTTAATCAAGGAAAACTATCAAAAATAAAACCTGTATGTAAACTTCAGTCCTGCATATCACTCAATTTTGATCCCCGTGGGTTTTGAACCCTTCATGTAAGACTGATAAAAGAAAGAAGAGAAGAGGAACAGATAGCTGAGATACATGAGTGAAGCCCACACTATGTTATCCACATAAGAGGGACAATCACCATCCTGCATCCACCGGTACACTAGTGCACTTACTGCCAGCCCCATGGCCATCTGGGCAATCTGGGTGCAAGTGATGATGATGGCACAGGGTTTCGGCACACGGAGTCCTGCAGCCCGAGCAGTGTAGTAGCTGTACATGAGCGCATGCACGGTGTAATTCATGGTCATAAACCAGCCACCACCGGCAACCTGATCTTTGTAGGAATACCAGGAGTACACCAGCACGGTAATGTGATGATACCAGTGCAGGAAGATCAGCCGCTGCTTACGCAGGACGATGAATATGGTGTCCCCTGAAAAGATTACAAGTGCAAAAATAAGCAATTAAAGAGAAATCAAAAAAAAAAAATTTTGTTGTCCATACAACGCAAGTTAATGGGGTCCAATGTTGTTTTGGACTTTCATTACATATGCAAAACAAGAGAAAATGACAGCAAAAGGATATTTTTGATGAATTATTCCATTAAAAATAAAATAAAAACCTCACCTAGCTCTGGGGCTTTGCTCAGCACAAAAGCACAAGCCCAGAACTTGCTAATCGGCCCATTGTAGAAGCTCTGGTCACAAACAGACTGTTTAAAACCACTGGTGCTGAGAATGTACAACATGAAGCAACCAGTTCTCACCGCTCCAATGATACTGAAAAAAAAAAAAAAAAACGAAACAAAACTTGTATGTGAATATTGTCTGCCATGGCTGGGAAACCATGGTTTCCACGACAAACAATTCAGGCCTCTTAACATTATGGGTGGGGGAGAACCCCCCACCCCTCCAGGAACATTCCTAGCAGGCAGTTTCTGTGTTAAACTGCAATCAATATCAAAAGATTCACTAAGTGGTGAAAGTCCAGTTGCTAAGGGAGATCTAAAGACCATGTGACCAGGGGTCACTGATGCCATCCAATTACAATATTCCATTGTTCTTTTCACAAGCACACAATTACTTTGTGCTTGCTGTCATTTCGGTCATCTTTTGAGATGGGTCCAAGACAACTTATCCCCACCCAAGTGAAACCAGATCCAACGGTGAACAGCACTAAAGATTTAAAAGCCACACAAAGTGGTAAATCACACAAACATGTCACTCGAATGCATTTTGGCATGCTCAAATTTCAAGCAACAAATTTGCGGGCAACAATTAGTAACCGAATGTCGAAGAGTGAAAGTAAAAAAAAGGCCAAAAGTTCAGGGTATTTGATTGATACTATAAAGGAAGTCAATGGTGGTGCTCCACAACTGTTCGGTTATAAACATTAAAAAAATAATCTTCCTTTTGTGTTTAGCTAAAGAAGAAATTTTGGAACAACTTGAGGATCAGTAGGCTAAATTACCATTTATTTTGGGTTAAACTATCTCATTCTCTTTACATAAACGTGTAACTTGCTGTTCCTCAAACATGTAGGCTAATAAAATAAAACATTGTACCCTGAAGTGAGCAACATATATCAAAACCTCTTTTTAAGAAGGTAATGTGTAAAATAACTTGGTTATTTAGATATTCACAACCCGCTATAAACTAAACACTTGATTTTAACTTACCTAAAGATGGCCAAACTGAGGGACCACAGCATTAACACTCTTCGCAGATCAAGTCTCCGTCTTTCCTTCATGAAGTGCTGCCCACCAAACACAACCACTACATACACAGCACCAAACAAAAACGACTTTTTCCTGCATGAAAGGGACAACATAGAACACCAGAAAACTTGTTTATACTGAACCTCCAAGTGTATTCAGATGAAATTCTTATTCAGTCAAAGACAGTTCTTACCAGTTGTCCTGCATCCATTCAATAGCAAACCTCTCATCAAAGTGCCGCTCGAAATCATACTCGGTGAGAGGCAGCCCAAATTCAGTCGCATTCATTTTGAGTCACTTCCAAAAAATTACGATATAAAAGTGAGGGCAATTTGGTGAAAAAATAACAAATTGTGTTACTGTCAGCTCGGCAGGGCGCCCACCAGTTAACTATAAGCAGCCTCAGACACACACACCTGTGCACACACCTGTACAAATCAGGGTGGAGTTTATAGTGGAGTTTAGGGAGTGACTCTCGGGCAAAAGGCTGGTTTTGTATTTCCTTAATCCAGTTTCTGCGATGCAGCCAAAGAACACTTTATTAAATAAAACGAATAGTTGTTTCTATATCCATAACATACACAGAGGGAGAAAGAAGCTGAATGGGAGTGTTTAAATAAGCCATGTAATCGGAGCTGTGAAAAGACAATTAGGGAATTCTAAGACTGCAAATAATAGCGACAACATTATCGCCAAAATGTTCTCAGTAGGCTAGTGTTGCATTTCTTAAATTCACAATACATTTCTTATTTATATTTCTGTCATTTGTATCTTTTATTTCATGAAAAATAGCCTATTATATTTATAAAAACAAAAAAATAGCATACTGTGATAAACCAATAAGAACAGAGCATTTCTGATAAAAGTGATTGACGTAAAATACAATTAGCCTATCAAATAATTTTTAATTGATATGCTATTCATTTAGCTTATGTATTTAATTTGTTAATGTATGTCATTAAGGATCTTTTTAAACAAACAACCAAATATTTTAATAGGCCTATAACAACTGTTAACATATTTTGAATAGGCCTATAACAACTGTTAATTTTTTTTTTTTTTTTCTAGTTTATTGTTTCTTATTGTAGGATAGCCTAATTGTAAGAGGGTCATTAATAAGTGAATCAAAAGGCAAAATTGGTCAAAATGTATATTTTATTATTTTTTCCCAAAACGTTTGGGTTGCTTTTGAAATTCTTTGAATTGCAATTCAACTTGAATTCCTGCCGTTCCGCGAGTGTGTAAAATTCCATTCTAGTGAACTGACTGAACTGGCAACACGTGACGTAGAAGAGCGTTCTGTTTACGTAATCAACTATAAATGTTGACACGTGATGGCGCTATTTCACGAAAATTATCCAATGCTTCAATGATGCAACCTTTCTATGGATGCAATGCAATCAGAGATCATTTCGGCTGTGCAGTCATTGTTCTACTGAAATCAGTAGAAATAAGATACCAAAAATAAAGTGTAATTAGAATTACATTTACATTACAAGACTTGTTAAAAATATGCGTTATTAACCCTTTTATTAAAGGGAAGAATCAGCGGTTCAAATTTATTTTGGCCCATATTTCATTCATAGTCCCACTCTCATATATTTTAAACTCAAGCGTAAAAATAGTGAAAACTTTAATAACGAGAATGAATTCATTTAGAGTTTCACAAAGAAACAGTCCTGCGCTCTGTAGTTCCCCTGACAATCCTGTAGGGGGCGATGATTGAGTTTCTTTCTGTACATTCACTCGGAGCACAGAAGAAGAATGGTATCTGTTGGAGGGTGATGTTTACTCATGTGTTTACTACAGTGTTTTAAATTTAGAAGCCTTTAGTTTTACGATTTTTTTTCACAGCGGTCTTAGGCTTGCGACGGACCGGCCACGATGAGAATTTATCATTGTTTACTCAATGCTACCAAGTTTAGGAGAGTATTTGACTTTGGTGAGCGAGATGTGGCGCATTGGTTCCCTGGACATATGGCAAAAGGTGCGTGCCACATACAAGAAATCACTCAATCTGGCTTATCTTTCTAATTTGTTGCTATACAGTTCTTTAAGACATGGGCCAAAAGTTAACATCTAGAACAAGGGCGTTTCATAATTGTCATGTCATTCCTTCAGCATTATGCTAAACGTTGTGACTTTTTCTTTTTAGGACTCAAGCAGATGAGAGCCAGTCTAAGGAAGGTTGACTGCATTATAGAGATCCATGATGCTAGAATATCCTTTTTAGATTATGATAATGTACATTTTGAATGATTAAACCTGACTTAAACCCTCTTTAACTGGCCAACATACCCTTTTCTGGAAGAAATCCTTCATTTCAAGAAAGCCTTGATGTCCGGCCACATTTACTTGTACTGAACAAGATGGATTTGGCAGACATATCCCTAAAGCAGGTGTCATAATCTTATACATGTCATTATTGCTTTGAAATTTAAACTGCCTTAATAAATTTAAGTAGACTTAACAGAACTGCCAAGAACAAAAAGTACTTAGATAATGTGCTGATCAGATATAACAATTTTTTTTTAAATTCCACCAGTGCATTATGAAGCGGCTTGAGAGAGAAGGTGTGAGGAATGTTTTATTCACAGACTGCTTAAGACAGCGAGATGAAAACCTAAAAAAGGTGATAGGTTTTACTCTTTACATCAGAAATTTCTAAATTAAAGCTCGTCTGGAGAACCTGACACCTTATAAGTGTAAACATTCTGTCTTTTACTGTCTGACATTCCAGATCATTCCTCTCGTGACACAGTTGATAGAAAGTGGGTCACGTTTTCACAGAGAAGAGGTGGGTTTCAATTATTTCAGTGGCTTACATTTTGCTGTAAAGTTTTCTGACTTTGTTATTCATCTATGTGTAGGACAGAAGTTACTGTCTGATGGTCATTGGTGTGCCAAATGTGGGGAAATCATCACTGATTAATGCTGTAAGAAGAACATATTTGAAAAAAGGTATTTAGTTTATCTTTTATAAATTCTGTTTGGTGTAAGAAATTCCAGTTTAGCAATCTTAAAGTAAGCATGAAACTGAAGTTTGTTTGACTTTTCTTGCTTTCAGGGAAAGCTTCAAAGGTTGGAGGTGAACCAGGAATTACAAAAGCTGTCCTGACCAAAATTCAGGTTTTTAATTATAATTAATAGGCAGATAATGGATTCAATTGGGTTGATTTGTTCTCCCGTAGCAATAAATTCAAATTTTTTTTTTACTAGGTCTGTGACCGACCCATAATTCATTTACTGGACACCCCAGGAGTCCTGCCACCTAAAATAGAGAACATAGAGACTGGAATGAAACTTGCTTTATGTGGTAAGTCAGTCCACAAATTTCAGAAACAAAGATGCCTATCTAAAGATGCCACAATTGTAAGGTAAAGAATGCATTTCTTTTCAAACAGGTACCATTTTGGACCATTTAGTTGGTGAGGATATCATTGCAGATTATCTGCTTTTTTCACTGAACAGACTGGAAAGATTTAGGTAGGTTTTGCATTTATACTCAGCGAGTTTTGAGAAAATCTTCAATTTTACAGCGGTAAACAATCATCTATTGTATATTTTATAAAGCAGCATGTATAAGTAATCATTTCTTCTTTAGTTATGTTGAGAGGTACAATCTGGAAGAGCCTTGCGATGATATTCAGCACGTGCTGAAGTGTATAGCAGTAAAGCTCGGCAAGACAAAGCGTGTGAAGGCCATAACTGGAGTTGGTGAGGCCATTCAGTTTTTTAATTTGAGTGAAATCACACAATAAATCAACCTCACTCACACTCCTTTAATTATTGAAGTATTCCGTTGTTCATGAAACATAACTTATGGGATGTATTTAACCAATAACACATCAACTCTTTAGGCAACATCACTGTCCAAATGCCAGACTACAGTGCAGCAGCCTACGATTTCATCAGGGCATTCCGGAAAGGAGAACTTGGAAAGGTGATGCTTGACTGTGCTTGACTTTACGTTCAAGACTGGACACTGAGCACACAAGTGAACCACTTATTACTTTTAATGTTTTAATTAAAAGGTGGTGCAATGAGTATTTTGGACATGTCTTGTTTTTATTGTGTAGTTATCAGGTCAAAGGGGCAGTGAGTGTAATTGAAGCAATACATTATTCAGTTTAATTTTAACAGCATTGGTATCTTGAGTGCATAAGTTTGTATGTGAAAAGCGAAGATTAAAACCAAACATCAGTTGCCAACACAAATTACTTGTCTACTTTCACATCAGCTGTTTTTCCTTACTAATATGTCCATTTTATCAAATATTTGGCATGTAATTGCTTTGATATCTAAAATGTAATCTCTTAAATGTATCTAACAGCTGGCAAACAGTGCTTATGTAGTGTTAGATTATAAAAACAGCTTTAATTTCACAGCCTTTTTTAAAAACTTGTGTACTTAATAGATACTGCATTATCAAAAAAATCTACTAGAAATACCGGTAGTAGAAATTTAAAAACAGGACATTTTAACACCCACAGCAATGGAAGTACAGGTACAGATAGAAACGGTTTTCATATTCTAAACATGTTACAGCATACCTCTTCTATCTAAACACAATTATTAGTTAAATGTGAACATAAATATTGATAAAGAGACAAAGGTTCATTAAAAAAAGATTCATCTCAATTACAGTGGTGGTTCTCCAGCCGTTCAGCAGCACAACAATAACACAGTATTTTTGCCATCCAATACATGATGTGACCAGCATAATTTAAGTAGTCTATAGTTGTATAGTTACTAATGCTCCTGTTGAAGCAAACTAAGCAGTCTAACTTCAGATCATATTCCTAAAATGTCTACTAAACTAAATAGAAGTTTTGAATCTGCCTTTTGTTTTCATATCCTCTTTGTTGTGCAACAGACACATTATTAAACATAGGTGTTGCACAGTAACATACATAAGCAGCTTATTACGCTGTGTCTTAAACTGCCTCAAGGGGCAAAGTACATGACCAGGTTTATTGGTAGGAGCAGAGTGGAAAGTTTAGTGGTAGTGGAGTCATACACTATTGCGCTTGATGTCCTGGCGAGGTAAAGCTCCCAGTCTGTTCGGTTACTGTAGTAATCATCACCATGCTCTGAGCTGTCATCCGGTCGGCGCTGGGCCGACGCGTACCATCCTCCGGCTCCCAGTGCCACCACAGCCCCGGCCGCCGCTGCTCCTGCCACCCGCACGGCGGGGGAGCCTCGGGTGCGGGATGTCCGGCCGCCTCGGGCGCTGCCCCGTGCTGAGCCCCTGGCACCTCCTCTGCCGCCTTTGGACATCACCTGATCGCAGAGGAATGCTGAAAGCAGGAGAAATATCCAGCAGGTGGCAGCAGCCCTGTTCATTCTGGATCACCCTGGGAATGGAAGAAAAACATGACTCTTGTGAGAAACAAATTACTATATTTATATAGCTTTTATTTATAAGAGCTAGACATTTTTCAATTTTTTTTATAAGAGCTAGCAATTTTTCCTTATACTACAGTGGCCTCTAATTGTATTTGGACACTTTCCCTCTGTTTTACAGACAAGGCTTAAAGGAGTAGTTCACTTTCAAATAAAAATTGCCTGATAATTTACTCACCCCCATGTCATCCAAGATGTCCATGTCTCTCTTCAGTCGAAAAGAAATTAGGTATTTGAGGAAAACTTTCCATCTCTGAGTTGCGCCAAATGGTCCTTACGTGTGCATATCCGGAATGTTTAATGATGTCGGCACATTATATGGAGAAAAATTCTGGAATGTTTATTTTACATGTTTATATTTATGTTTAAATTAAGGTTTATTTTAAAACCCTAATTTATTTTCAACTAAAGAAAGAAAGAGATGGACAACTGACAAGGGGGTGAGTAACTTATCAGGAAATGTTTTATTTGAAAGTGAATTATCATTTAAGCCTAGTCCCAGACTAAAATGCATGTTTGAGCTGTTGTAACTGAAAGCAACATAATATTAGGAGGGAATGTTTTTTAAAAAAACTATAGAAAAAAGAGTTAACTTAGGTCATTTTGATTTACCTTACTATTGTATTGAAAGTATTTTTTGTAAACAAAAATTGTAATACTGTTTTTATTGCATTTTCTTGATTTTGGATTGCATTTAATTGTAATGTAATATATTGTTTACTTCTGGTCATCACCAGAATTCCTTGTGGAAACTATCATAATTATTTTGTATTTAATTTTTAAAATGTTATGTGCATAGGAGTTTTTTTCCTTTTTTTTTTTTTCAATGAAAGCTATTTCATGCATTGCATTATTTTTGTGTCATATGTTTTATCCTGATGTGTTTTTGCAGGTGTAACCAAATCTTTATATTGTCTTGTCACTGCATTTTTCTGAGTTCAAAAGTTCAAAGTTCTGGCAACCACATCTGCCAGTTTTTTTAAACAAATTAAACAAACTTTTACTACTACAGACAGCAAGTTAGACACAAGCTACTTCAGTGTTCTAATACGGTTGGAAATACTGCAACTGCAACTATTTAACAAAGGTTTAACATTGTATTATGCCCGTTCAGGTTCATTTAGTTTGGTCGGTGATAGTGTATCCAATATGTGAATGGGTTGCTTTAATATAGGCCTAATATTTAAACAACGACCAGAGAAAAGCACACTGACACTGATGCTGGCTAATGAGCTCAAATTCTTAACACATAGCCTAATACATTAAGCTGTCTTATTTTTCATGCATTTGCCTTAATGTGGTATTCATTCACTGTCGTTGTTTAATTAAGTGATGAAATTGTAATCTGGCTCTCCAACTAGGTCACTAGAAATTCAGTCATTTTGGATAGGTTTACAATAACTGCTAGAGATAGCAAAAGACTATGTATTATTCTGACAATAATGCAATTCATGACTCTGCATACAATATATGAGGAGAAAAATACGCTTTACACACATCGTTCGCCTGGTCACAAATTCAAAATGGTCACGATATCAATAATTCATTTAGTTTTTTAGAACACGATTACGACCCATTATCTGGCATTGTATGAGAATAGACGCGGAAATGTCTGATAATATGACATTATGCGACGTCGACTGATGTTCCCACAAACCCAAGGCGTTTCTGTGGAGTCTCGACGGTGTCTATGTACAATTGGTTAAATAGATGCTACACCTCTGCAACAACCTCATTATGCATCTCCATTCATTTAAATCCTTTTACATTGGGCATATCAAGGCACTTACCTCCGTTTGTGTCCGTGTCCACAGAACAACCGGCGATATCTCACTATCATGTGTGAGATCAAATCAAATGCACACGTTATGTAAAGCTCTGCTCGTGTATGCTGCTGCTGGAGATGATGAATTAACAAATGGCAGGTGTAGCAGTCATCAGGTTTGCTGCTCTAGTAAAAAAAAAAAAAAAAAAAAAAAAAAAAAAAAAGCCTCTGTGCAATAGAAGAGCAGCGGAATGTATTTAAATGCATAATTTTGTAATTGTACTTTAAAACACAATTTATAAAGTGGAAATCCTGTCTATGGGAATTAGCGAATTTATTAACTGATCAATAACTCTTGGTGTATTTATTCATGTATGGATATTTATGTCATAGACAATATTCTAGAATGGCCCATTATGTAGCTACAACCACTAGTCAGTATCTGGTTTGCCTCAATCATTGCAACACATCTCCTTAGCATAGAGTTGATCAGGTTGTTGATTGTGGTCAGAGGACCCACTCCTCTTAAAATGGCTGTGCAAAGCTGCTGGATATTGGCTGGACCTGAATACGCCGATCCAGATCATCCCAAACTTGCTCAATGGAAGACGTGTACAGAATAGATCCTTGCAACATGGAGCCGTGCATTATCATGCTGGAACATGACGTGATGGATGAATGGCACGACAATGGGCCTCAGGATCTCGTCACAGTATCTCTGTGCATTCAAAATGCCATCAATATTGTCCATAACATACGCCTGCCCACACCATAACCCCACCACCACCATGGGCCACTCGACCCACAACGTTGACATCAGCAAAACACTCACCCACACAATGCATACGCTTTCTGCCATCTGCCCATACAGTGAAAACCAGGATTCATCCATTAAGAACACCTCTCCAAAGTGCCAGACGCCATCAAATGTGAGCATTTGCCCACTTAAGTCGGTTACGATGACGAACTACAGTCAGGTCGAGACAGCGATGTGAATGACAGGAATGCAGTTGAGCTTCCCTGAGACGGTTTCTGACAGTTTCTGCAGAAATTCTTAGGTAATGCAAACTGATTGTAGCAGCAGCTGTCCGGGTGGCTGGTCCGGGTGGGACGATCTTGGAGGTGAAGATGCTGGATAAAGAGGTCTTGGGCTGGTGGTTATACATGGTCTGCGGTCGAGCAACAGCTCGGGCGGATATTCATGCAGTCGGCATGCCAATTGCATGCTCTCAAAACTTGCGACATCTGTGGCATTGTGCTGTGTGATAAAACTGCACATTTTAGAGTGGGCTTTTATTGTGGCCAGCCCAAGGCACACCTGTGCAATAATCATGCCGTCCAATCAGCATCTTGTTATGCCACGCATGTGAGGTGGATGGATTATCTTGGCAAAGGAGAAGTGCTCACTAACACAGATTTAAACAGATTTGTGAACAATATTTGAGAGAAATAGGCCTTTTGTGTACTTTTGTGAAGCTGACCCTGCAAATGCACAGGAATAACGGTAAGAAGATGGATGGATAAATTAATTCAATTTATAAAAATAATTATAATAATATTAATAATAATAATAATAATTTTATCATTGTTTCCAGAAAAATATTAATAATAAGAAATGTCTTTTTAGACCCCAAAACACAACAAAAGAAGACAGTTATTTTAAATCAAAATAACATTTTAAACACAATACAGTTTTTACTGTATTTTGATCAAATAAATACGGCATTGGTGAGCAAAAAAACATCTTACAGATCCCAAACTTTTGAATAGTAGCGTAAAATAGTATTTTCACTTTTAAAAGCAGTTACACATTGTAAACAAATTGTGATACCACATCTTAATGCAGAACTTTGACCAGCAGGAAGCGCCACAGTTACTGTATTATCTTCCCTCCACCACAGTGCTGACACAGAATTAAACAATAACTGTTTTTAATTGAATGGACACGATTCCACAGACTAACGCAAGACAGGAACATAGTCATAATCATTATGTTTTACTGATGGAAACATAAACCAAACAGCATTTAAATATTACAAAATAATGTTTTAATATACTGAGCAAATTACTACAGCAATTAAGTAAGGTGTTAACAATTAACGGAAGACATGTTTATTTTTTTCTGAAATTTATTATTGTTGAGGTTGATAGTAACGTTACTAAAAAAAACTATTTTGGACCTGTTATTTACATGGCTGTCAAATCTATACCCAATAAGAATATTAGAAATGTCCATTTGGGGTCTCAGTCAGGTTGGTTTTTCAGTCTACTGCACCAGTGGTGCGAGAACAGCATCCCGGGCGGCGCAGAGATCCCAGTAACCCCTTTTTTCTTCTTTGGGTCGATCCAGAGCTGAGCTGGGTTGTTGTTGTGTTCTGGCGCGAGAGCTTCGCCGCTATTCCCTTAGTCTCTTTAATCTGTATCTCCAGATGTCTCTGAATCGCAAGTCCGAGTTCCTCAGGGTCGGCCGAGGCCCCGTACACCTCCCATGTCATGCCCTCGGCATCCCATTTCACCTCCTTCACATGAGACTTTTGACTCTTTGACACTGTTTTCACATTCGTCTTCTCCTCAACCAGACACACTTCTGGGAACACGTGCTGGGGATGTTCCTCAGAGTCCTGACCCACTTGCACTCCTACATTTCTAAGTTCATTTTGTGAAGTCATAGTCTCTGCTTCCCTTGTGGTCTTTTGATCCATCCACCGCTGGGCGCCAACTGGACACCACGGACCAGGCCAAGAGCAGTCCAGATTGCAGCAGCGGAGGAGTCGCTTACCATCCAATCCGGTCTCGCTGACGGAGGAGATGAGCCGAGGAAGAGCAAGGAGGTTGTTTGCTGATACTTGACCCTTGTAGTTCTCCTCCATTCCCACTAAGTGCGGAAGCAGCTGCGCTGGGGCAGGAATGGGCTGCGGGTGGCAATATGCCGCAAAAGTGTCATCGACGGCTCCATGGTGGTAGTGTGAATTACAACAATCAGCCTCTTCGAATTTGGGGCAGGTGGATTCTGGAATGATCTCACAGACCTGAATGAAGCCATGATTGGCTGGTTGAGTGGGGCTGCCCGACCCGCTACCTCCAGCTCTGGTGGACGTGGTCACCGTATTGCTCTGCTGAAGCGGCATGGCCTGTTTACACACTAAAGAAGGAAATGACTGCGCACAAACATCCTGGTCTCGTCCTTGGCAAAAAGTGTCGCCCGTTTCACAGTAGAGAGGCGAAGCTGTGGACTGTTTGAAAATCTGCAAGCTGTCTGAGTGGCTTCTCTGTACTGATAACAGACTGTGCTCATTTAAGACCTTGTGAGGGGACAAGACATGTTCCCTGTGTGCTGTCAGTGAACATGAGTGTTTATTCTGATGTTGGTCATTAAAACTGCCATCTTTGAGGTCTTTTGAAGAAAATGATGTTTCTTTGGAGCTCTTCGGGAGTACATCTTCAGGCATTACCTCTGCTGAACTGCACTCAACAGTGATGCTAGGGTCTGATTGGAGGAGGCCCCCTGGTGGGAATAACACTGTGTGCCCAGTCTCCGCCATCAGATATATGCTAGAAAAGAATGGAGAAAAAAGGTTGTCTTTAATGTGAAAACTCTTGAAAACAATATTGGTTGAATTAACTGAATAGCTGCCCAGAATTTTTGAAAAGAAATTAAGAAAAAAAGAAACACTTTGATTCACAAAAATGCCTTAAGGTTAGAGGACCCAATGAGTCAATGCATAGAAAAACAATGTAGGAACTAGATTTTCTTTAAAATATACTTAAAATACGCTACAGAAGCGTCTGCAGTCGTTTTTGTGAGAAAATTTTACTTCCGCGTCTGAAAATGGGCGTGGCGGGCGTGACGCAACGAGTCAGAGCAGTCGATTCAAACAACAGAAAAACAGTGGATCGCGATGAAATTTTGGACGCTGAGGAAATACTCATATGACGTATTTTTTTTTAAAAACATTTTAAATCCTGCATTAAGTTTTCATATGGTATTTTCATACAAGCCTATCTATAAATTTAGATATTTTTTTTACCTGCAATATGCTCTTTAACTCTTTTTCTGCCAATGACGTGTTTTTTTCCGTGTTATCACTAAAAAAAGGTAGGGGGCGCTATTACACATCTCCTGAACGAGTTCAGTATCTCCAGATCAAAACACAGGAAAAAAAGAAACATAAATGAGCAAATCAGAAAAAGAAATCTCATGTAAGCTGCAAGCAGATGCATATGAAAAATAATGAGATCATCAACAATAAACTGAATTGATCTATTGAATAAATGAAGCCTTGTGAGCATAAGAGACTTTCAAATACATTAAATAATTTTTAACTATCCCAACCAATTGAAAAGCACTTAGAGTATCAAGACAGACATTGGCATTTGTCTTGTGGGAAGTCAGCTGTTTCTAAGGGTCTCTGTCCCATAGTCGTTCTCTCACTCAGTCCCTTATATGCATTAGAAAAGCCTATGTATGTTGTTGTTAGACATTGCATAGACATTGTGAAAAACCAGCCAAAACAAGACTGATTGGTAGTTTTCTTAAAATGGTCAAAAAATGTTTTTCCCCCCACTATTTCACACTTTGAGTTGGTTTTCAGTGATATATCTTGTTTGTGATATATTAACAGATGAGGAAAATAACATCAAATTATTTGCATTAGACATTAAAAACACATGCTTAGTATTAAGTTTTAATTACATTCAATTCCAAATGTAATGCATGTTTTTACTAAAAGTTGCATGCAAGTAGCATGTTTTCAAAAGTCTTCCATAAATCAAAGTCACATGAAAAGAACACTGTAGAAAATGCTGGGTTGTTTCAACCCAATTTGGGTAAAATATGGACAAACCCAAACGTTGGGTTAAAAATGCAATTAAAAAATGTACAGTTGAAAGTGAAAGTTGAAGTAGGGTTAAAATTTGAAATTACATTTTTAACCCAACAGTTGGGTTTGTCCATATTTTACCCAAATTTCAAACAACCCAGCATTGTTTAGAGTGAATGTGCTAGTTGGGCACAGTGTGATGAAACAGCCTGGCATTATCAATTCATTCAAGGCCAGAGTGCATTTTTCTTCCTTTAAATCCAAAAATACCTTGCTGGCAAGGTGAGAACTCCATCCTGTGCATCTAAACCCATCCACACACATATATCAAAAAAACAATGGCAGAGAGTTTTTTTTTTTTCAAAAGAAATGCCTACCTTGTGTCCCAGTCACAGATGAAGCTGCTTTTTAATGACTTCTCTGCCCCGTCTTTACCTGTCTCTCTCTTCAATGGTCTCTGCGGTCATCCCACACTCCCAAGGGTGCAACGTCAGTCCAGGTCCTCATAAAGGCAGAATCCGTCGGCACAGATCTCTCCATCACACGTCACCCATCCTGGCCCTTGTCCTCTCATTCAGCATCCCACTCCAGCAGTGAAAAAGATGGAGGGAGCTTCGGGATTATACTCGTCTTTCATCTGATGACAAGCTAGCCTCGGTCACATCTTAAAATCCCCAGGCAGGACGGCGAGTATGTGTGTGTGTGTGTGTGTGTGTGTGTGTGTGTGAGAGAGAGAGAGAGAGAGAGAGAGAGAGAGAGAGAGAGAAAGAGAGAGAGAGAAAGAGAGAGAGAGAGATGTGTGTTTGTGTGGGTATTGTGGGGAAAGCCTGTGTGTGTGATGTGGTGGAGGGCTGAAGGAGATTGGATCCTAAGAGGAGGAGAATATGGAGATGAGGAGGTGCAGCAGTGGTTAAGCCGCTGACATTGGTGCCACTTCATGCATCAAAAAGAGATTAAAAGGGAAACGCATGAATGAATGTCAAGGAAATCAATGGATAGACAGTCAAATGATCTGTCCCTCACTCACTCCCCCTCGTCTTCAAATGTCTTCGCTATCTCTTATGAACAAGCGTACACACACACACAGTGGAATTGTATTTTTGAATGAATTAATGATTTTTTGTCTTTCACCTCTTTCTATATAAAGAAGTGACATTCCCTCTCTAGGTCTCTGTGGCTCTCCCCCTGTTGCTATGGAAACAACATTTCTCAATGGGGCTGAGATGAATCTTCGTAATACTGTGATATTACATATTGTCTCTCTATGTCCACAAACTATTATGGGATCATCAAAATAAAGTGTGTATAATGAACAATTGTGCCTCTGAGAGTAATTTGTGGGCAAACAGGTCATTTAACAGTTCATTCACCAGTTTATTACTTGTGTGCTCTGGGAAACAAAGGAAATATTTGGAGAAATATTTATACCTTTACAAAATTCTTTCTTTCTTTCTTTCTTTCTTTCTTTCTTTCTTTCTTTCTTTCTTTCTTTCTTTCTTTCTTTCTTTCTTTCTTTCTTTCTTTCTTTCTTTCTTTCCATCCATCCATCCATCCATCCATCCATCCATCCATCCATCCATCCATCCATCCATCCATCCATCCATCCATCCATCCATCTATCTATCTATCTATCTATCTATCTATCTATCTATCTATCTATCTATCTATCATTGTTGCAGAGGGAGAGAAGCCCCAAGACTGAACATCTGGAGAGGAGTGTGAACAGAAGCGCACAGATTAAATACAGAAACAGACAAAGAGAGAGAAAACAAGCCACAAAGCATCCGACAGCAATCATCAGTCTTGTATAACGACTGATGCTGTCTTTTGTCACTGTGTTAAAGATGGATGTGGCCACTATTGATCTGGACTTTGCTTGTGCTGCTGACACAATTTTGTGGGGTTTCTGACAGCTCACCTTATAGAACAACATCACAATATTTTGGCAAAATAGGTGATCTGACCTTATTTTGCAACAGATAGGAACAAGGTTAAGCAGCTGTGTATAATAAACAAAAGAACTGCTGACACTCATTCAGTGACTCAGTATGAGGAAAAAACTTTACTTGTTAATGATAAAAACAAGACAGGAAGAAAAAGAGCAAAAATAGTTAAAAATTATATATATATATATATATATATATATATATTTGGTGAAAAGCCATATTTAGTTTCCATGTGTGATCTTTTAAATCCACATTTCACACAAATATGCAAAATAACAGAGTGTGCACTGCATGCTTTTCTTTTGGCATCATATACATGCCTACTGCCGGAAGTGAATGGCAAGTGACTTTAATGTGAAAAGCCTTGAAATCAGATGGAGTTACTTTTTTTATTCAGCAAAGGTGCATTAAACTGATCAAAAGTGACAGAAAAGATATTTCCCAGTTTTACTCAATATTTCCATTTTAAATTAATGCATTTGAACCTTCTATTCTAAACCAATTCTGAAAAAAAAAAACTGTATCACAGTTTCCACACAAAAAAGTAAAATAATGTAAATAAATACAGTCTTACGCAATTTATAGTTCTAGCAGAAATTAGCAACATAATCAGAAACACTTATTATTGAAACTATTATATTCAGACTGGACCAATCACCAAAATGATTTGAACTAAAACAGTTAAATATGATACACAGCCAATTAATTTAGTTTCTTTTGGTAAATAATCATTTACGTCGACCTTAATCATTTTCTACTGACCTTGCATAGGTGAGTTCAGTCCTTTGGTGGTCCTGAGTCCTTTTGCCTTGCTCAGATTTCATTTAATGGGACTCTGAACTTTCTCTTATGAAAGACAGTCCTTCAGGCATGAGTCATGGCTGTTCCAAAGGGCACCATTGTTTCATGTGTCTTCACCTGGAGCACTTTTCCTGTCCACTGTTCACACAACTACCTGAAGTCCAGCCACTCCCACACCGGCATGTTTACATTCGCACCTTCAGATGTTAAAAGTGTCAATACCGACCTTTAGCTCAATTCATTCAGTACTGCCGCTCCCTACATACTCAGTTTCAGAAACATTACAGTTTTTTTTTTTTTTTTTTCAAAACTCTTCACACAGTTCAGTTCTCCTTACCAACTCTCAACTTGGCACAGCAGTTAATTTCACATTCAAAATGCATAAATCTATTAAAACACTTCATACATGTCTAAAATCAAGCCACTCTTCCGTAACTAAGCTTATCACCCAACAAGCACACTTTATCACACATAAAAAAACAATCTAAAAAACACTAACAGCACATATAGCATTATTATACAATGTTTTCTTTTGTAAAATATCTTTACAAAACAAAACATAAGTGGTATTACTTATAAAATTGCTATCATATTCAGTTTGGTATTATATTATTGTTTAGAACTTAACTTTAACAGTTTTGAAAAGAATATGAAAACATGTGCAAATTGAAATGAGATTAGGGGCCATAAATCGGTAGTTTTTCATAACTCCAATAGAAAACGAGAAAGAAAGAGGAAAACCAGACCAGCTTTCCTTCAATTAGTATAAATCAGAAATTTCATCTCAGATGGTGGGTGATACTTGATTTTTGAGTCAGTACTTGAAATACCTGTTCTGTTTAGCATCTATACTGGTTCTGTACATTTTAAAACAGGAATATACCTGTGTTGAAGTTTAAAGTAAGTTTATGAAGAAATATGCCCTTATGAAGAACAGGCACTTAAACTCTATTATTCAGTCAAATAAAAAAGTATGCCAATTGGATGGAAAATAATAAGGAGGAAATAAAAAAGTATGTACATTCTGTGATAAGTATTGCAATTGTGGAATATATTTTAACATGCATATTGGTTGGGTTTAAATGTTTATTAAAATGGTACTGTATTTACTTTGGGCATTGTCTTGTTCTGATCAAATAAAAAAAATCTGATTTCCATATACAGCAATTGTGAGTTATACATATATATTAAATATATTAAAGTGTATGATGGCTACAGTACTGAATTACTCACAACAGGAATGAATCATCTGTGATTTCCTCCATTGTGAGGTTATTGAGCTATTGCTGTTACAGGAGGTGGACCACTCGGTGGATGATGGAGGAACACACTGATTATGCTCAGCTGGGTGCTGTGCTTGTGTAATGTGGACAGTGAGAGTGGATGAGCTCTGGGCATGTGGCCTGTTGTACCAATCACCTGCAGAGACTACCCATGTTTCACTCGGCACAGCTCCTGCAAAACATGCCCACCGTTTGTTTAATGCAAACATGTACACAAAACCTCAAAGATAGTGGTTCCCTCAGCCGTCATAATCATTTGTCATATCATGAATCAAAAGCCTGGCCTTACCAGGTTGACTGTCAGAATGTTCGTTACACGGATTATTTATACATCAAACAGAGCTTCAACAAAGGAACAAAATAAAAACACATGTAAGCTACTCTCTGACTTAACTGCATTAAAAAAGACTAGGTTACCATGAATGACAAATAATTCGATTGTAGATAATAATTGCTATAAAAATTTGACAGCAAATAGATACTTATTGAACTGGTTTCTCAGCTTTTTCTTTATTAAGATTATGAAGGTTTGCTCCCTGAGGACACTGTAGAGAGCTGTACAGACGCACTGAAATCTGCAATGAAAACATCCCTTCTTCTGGCCAAAGCAGTTTTTCAATTATCTCCATCTAGTGGTCGTCGAAGACTTCGGATTTGGGGGCCTTTAATGAAAGTGTTCATAAGTGGTTCACACACAAGACCAAAAGGTGTGATACAGGGTGCAGTATGAACTGTCATTAGTTCCAGTGGATAAAGATCATCGTTTTTTGGGAGACATTTTCATAAACGGACTCCGTCTTTGATTTCTAAAAATAACCTGCTTATGCGACGACAAATTAATAACAGACCAAGGTTTCTCTCTAAATAAACTTGCTTAATAAAACCTTTTAAAACTCCAGATAGATCAGTAGAACTGAACTTGATTTTCTATCATTTTTGCTCCAAAGGATGATCTTGTACGCTGCTTTCATATTATGCAAATCAAATACAGTATTTTTTTTTTTACTAGCCTACTATGGCTACTGAAAAATGCTAACATGGAGCAGCAAGAGGAAATGACATCAAACATCCCATTCATGACTTTTTAAGCAGTTAAATCATCAAACAGATTAAGTTCTGCATGTTTGTCAGGATCTCTGCTCTGAAAATGACTGTCTTTCACACTAAAGAAACCTAGCCGCTAAAGCTGTATTTCAGCTCAGATCATGATAAACCGCAGAGCAGCTGCGGGTCGAGAACAGGCTTGGTGACATGATGTGTCCTACTTTCAACTCTGTGTCCAAAGACAACGTTATGGTATTAAAGATGAATGGGTGAAGAATAATCAAACCAATTTAGAACTGTTTGTAGGCTAGTAAAGACGCTGGCTGGTGTAAAGGTCAAACGTTTTAAGCCAGGCTCAAAAAAGAAAAACACTTGTTGTAAAAGTATTTCTTATATATATATATATATATATATATATATATATATATATATATATATATATAAATTAGGCTAACTGTAGCCTAAAAATTATCTTCAACAGTGTAGCTAGGGTATTTTGTTTTCACTAATTTGTGTAAATACTTTGTTTTGAATTTGGAAACAGTAGGAGAGTTATTTTCTTTGAATGAATTTTGCATATGTTTATGTCAGGCAGTGAGGTAAGAATTTGTTGTTTATTTGTTATCTTTTGTAGGCTATAGGTTATTAAAATGCTATCTAATTAATTAAGAATTATTAGCTTAATCTGCTGATTGGTTTCTTTTCTGGATCAAGTAACTGAAGTGACCATCAGTCTTTTTCGTTATATTTACCATGATCATTATTTCTCTTATTTTACAATAATTGTTACGTCCTCTCCTACCCCTAGAGAGGTTTGAAACTTTGAAACACACACACACACACACACACACATAAATAAATATAATCATGTTTTTTTTCCTGTCTAAAGATCTTTATAAAAATAAAACCAGGCATTCTCTGCTGTATTTCCACTTTATTGCCAGAAGCAAGCTGTTCTGGTAAACCATACACTTTACACACAAAAATAGTCTATTTATTTAAAAAGGTAATCAACACCCATTAGTGCAGCAGCTATGAAGGACGATGATTTTGTGCTATTTTTCAAGCTGTGAAAAGCCTCATGATCTTCAGTGCTGAATGAAGCCTTCTTGACCACGTTGCAGCAACCTCACATTTTCAGCTTGTTAATCTGAAAGGTCTGACGTTGCCCTCAGACCTTTGTTTCTGACTGGGAAATATACAGGCCACACACTCATAGACACAGTTCAAAACATTACTTCCTCTGACACAGTAGTCACTAAGATTGGTCTTTTTTGTCGATGGTCTCACCTTGACCGAAACTGCGAGTTTTTAAGACATGGATACAACGATGCAAACACAACAGCATTTACACAACACTGCAAGAGGTATCAATGACGATTGCTTTTTATTTAGACTTGGGAAGCTCAAGAGCTTTTCTTGATATGTTTCTGGCTATTGCTTTCATGATATGGAGATTCAGATTTGTGCTCATGGCTAGCTAGAAATAAATGATCAACATGATCAAAGAATCTGCATTAAAAAGCCCTACACAATAAAACTTAAATAGTAAGGCCAGCTATGATATGAAAATAGACATTACAACCCGAGACATACTATTTTCTACCCCTTTTTCTGTTCCACATTTTATAACTTGATGAAATATTAATCAGCTGTGTTAACATACTCTGATTAAAGAAAGCACAAGACAAGTATAACACTACTCATATAAACAGTTGTGTAGTACATTGGTATGCAACATAAAATTATATGTTTGTTATTAATCCATTTCCATAGACAGACAGCAAGCTCATAGTAGATACAGCTGCTTAGTGCTCTTACAATGGAAGTCCATGGCAAATATGATTGCATGTATGTATGCAGATATTAACCAAGATATTTTCCACTGAACACTCCTCATAAATTTAAAGAGTTGTTTCTGTTTCTTGTTTAGTAGGGTAGAAGGTTCATTACTGGATAGTCTGTCTCCCAAGTGTTCCTGTCCCTGGGATAGCTGACAACAGACAACATAAATCATGGACAAACTGACGTCTTCCTACTTTAGATGATTAAATCGCACCATCTTTCTCCAAAGTGGCTGGGGTAAACTTATATTGCTTTGGTCTGACTATATGCCAAGCTTGATGGAAGTAACTCTTTTTTTTTGTTTTACTATCCTTATGGGGATGAACTGTCTGAAAATATCCCCACAAGGATGACTATGCAAGACATGTTAGTCTAGGCAGTTTCAGAAAGAACAGCCATCACCGTGTCGGCCTGCTTAGCCAGCTTTGTGCTGGTGTGATTGGACAGCTTGGACAGGGTATCCCTCAGGTTTAGAGATGTTATCTGCTCCCTTAACATGCCTGTAACAGAAAGAGAAGGCAAATGATGAGATGAGGTAAATAGAAAGATTTAGTTTAGTTAAAAACATGGGCTTTCTATATTGTACATGCCTGTTGTTATACCCAATAAAAACATGGGTTAGGTAGACACATAACTACTGGAACCTAAGAGTAATGAGAGATAACAAGGTACCTTAGAAGGACCATATAGACAGTATATGTAAAAAGACAATGTGGAGAATATATGTGGAGCCGTCTCAGGTCTTTTGGAGCGAGATTATTTTCTTATGTCTGTGATTATGAGTGTCTTACAGTATTGCAATTCCATATGGTATTTGACCCGTCTGTTAGTTTAAAAACAAAGTTGTTGAGTCAATTAAAACTTTGCTCTATAATTACAGGTCACCCTTTTGAAAAAGTATATGAATTATCCTATTTTAAGAACTTCTTAAGGCTGGCCAAGTGTTGCCAAGTCTGCGGTTTTCCTGTGGAATTGGGCTACTTAAGTTGTTGCTGTCTGTTACATTTTTCTGCGGGTTGATTTCCATCCCCATATATACAAATTCAGTGGCGAATTCAGCCATCTGACAGAGAAACTTTTGAATGGCCAGTTGGCTACTTTTATTGCACAGACCTGGCAACCCTGAGGTTGGCTAATAATATTGTCTTGGAACAAAATCATGTACTGCATAATAAATTTGTTTTCTTACCATCTATCAGTGGTATAAGTTTTTGAGATATTATCAAGTCAGACTAAAGCATTCTTTTGTACATCAAGCTGTATTGAAACCGAATAAGGTACATAAGAAATCAAATGACACCAATAATCAAATGACTCTTTGTCTCTGACGCATTTGTAGATTGTATTGTTGATTGTACTGTATTGTATTGTTGACTGGTGATTGTCAGGGTTTGTGGATTTATTGGTAATGAGTATACTGTCATGCAAGAAAAATTTCTATCCATCCATCAATATTTGCCCTTCCCATAGTGTGTTCATTTTGCGGTACTGACTGGAGTTGGCAAGGCTGCAAATGAGGCCTAAAGCACTGAATTTGACCTCCACAGCCACAACAGGGTCATCTAGCATCTTCTGCAAGGTGGGAAGGAGATCTGCATCCAGAAATGGTTCTTGGACTGCCTCTGCACAGAACAGAAAGTGGCATGCATATACCAAGATTAGAGATGGTATGTATGAGAAGGAGTAACACATTAAAAAAGTAATGCCATTACCATTTTGGATGGTAAATACTGACGCAAATACCAGGAAGATGACTAGCTTAAACCTTAGTAAATCACCTTCCATTATTTAAAGTCCCCTATGGTGAAAATCAAGCTTTTAATGTTGTTTTATGTCTATGTGGTTTTGAATATGCTTAATATGCAGTTTTTTTTCCCCTTAAAACTGCAGTGAACCAAAGACAGTCTCAAAAACGCGGTTTGAAATTGTTGGTGTTTCTGACGTCACAAACTACCTTGTAACCAATTATGTCAACATGTGATCATCAAGGAGTAAAACTCTGAGCTGGTGTGAGTGAGTGGAGATGAGGCTAATGTGCATATTTATAGAACCACGTATACTAAATGAGGCAAGGTTATAGATTTACATTCAAGCAATTTTAAGGCATGAAGGATTTTTTTTAATATGTCTTTTTGGTGATCAAAGATGAGTTTTATGGGATCAAATTATTGACTACAGGGGGACTTTAATTACTCTCCTACAAATGCATATGCAACTATCAGCTGAAAAAATAATGGGAGGGGTTATTAGACACAAATAACCTCTTAAAATTATAAAGTGTATATTGTATAATATGTCTTATGGGACACAACCATAGTCTCACCAATGTCTATTGCAGAGGCAATGGCCAAAGCAACTAAAGCCTCATTCTGCATGATGACGTGCTCACTGGTTGCCATTGAGATGAGATGTTGGACTCCATCTGCTTTAATGACAGTTTGGATGACTTCCTTTAAAGACAAAAGAGGGTTATATTTTAGACAGCCATAATGAACAGTTACACATATTGTGCGCGTCTAAAACTCACAGGGTTTCGGCTGTGTCTTATGAGAGCTGCTAAAAGGCGATTAGCCTCGCCTCTAACACCGGCGTGATCTTTAGCCTCGCACCACTCCATGACTCGTGCTAACAAAGCTGTATCCTTCCCTAAAACTGAAGCTGCTTCTTCTACGAGACGGGGAAAAAAATGTACATTAGAAATTAAGAGAGAAAACATCCCTAAAATTACTGTTGATACATTTAATGAGACATATTACAAATGTCAAAAAGATACTGTGGCAGCTCTGTTTACCTCTGTATTTAGTTACTCGGTTCACTTTTGTCAAGGGAAATAATCACTAGAGTGCAGACAATAATTTAGTGCGTCAAAGCCGTTACAGGTCTATTGTCTGCATACTGAGGTGTCTAAGGGCTCCCTCTAAAATAACACGCTTTACTGAAGGGCTGGAAATTACAGCCTCTATGCTCCCTACATTTGAACAACAGTTGTAAGGAGAAATGTTAACTCATCAGCCATTATAGTCATTTGGCAGGTAATTGTATAGTTTAACAAATCTTTTGTCTAAAAATTACAACCTGTCTGTTTTCACGTCCCCCTTTTCAACGGCCAAATGAATGAACATTTTTACTACCACAAGGTCTGTCACACTTATTCAGTTTTTTTATTGTATGCATTTAAGAGTAATTTTACAATTAATTTTTAAATTTAAAGAGTAAAAGTGACATTGCATTCAATATATTTTATCAGTTCATGCGGGAATCAAACCCATGACTTTGGTGATGTTAGTACCACAACTAACAGGGAACTTCTCAGTACTTTGTCTAATGTTCTAGCAAGGTTATCTCAAAGTTTTGAATAAATATTATTCCAGTAATGTTAATAGAATGTTTGTTTTTAATAATTTTAATAATATTAAAAATATTAATTTTCTTGAGCAGTTACCTTGGCCATCCACCATCATGCGCAAAGTGCCCAGCAGTTTGAACTGGACTGGGGGCATGTCAGAGCGCAGAAGTGTCCTGATTCTTTCCGTCACTCCATCCTCCAACATACGCACCTTATTGGAGGCTACATCAAACAGAAAATACTGTTAACAGCCAGAAAAACGCAGGCAGTTTGATGATATTGAATTATATGGAAAAAAATAAAAAATAAAAAACCTGGAATGGCGAGATTTCTAAGTGCACTGAGGCCAGCGTGCTGCACAGATACATCTCCCTCGGCTACATGTTGCTCCAAAAGGTCCAGAATGTGAGGAACAACTCCTAATTCCAACATCTTCACACAGTTGCTGTCTAAAAGCAAAAAAGAGGAAACTTATCTTATAAATCTGACATACTTAAGAAAGTTGGCAGCGATTCAGAAAAAAACCCTCTATCTCCTCACCATTTCTGGCAAAGTTAGCAATGGCCAGAGCTCCTGATAACTGCAGCTCAGTGTTTGATGACTGCAGCCAGGAGAGAACATCCTGATACACCACCCCTGTCCCTTCCCCGAAACACTTCTGCATTGATTCATCTGTAATGGAAGGCAGATGCTAGAAAAAGCATGCTGAATCTCTCATCCATTCATTTTGGTTAATAAAGCAAGCAATATAATATAAAACAGAACAGTATTCATGAGACTCTGTTACTGGTGATAGTCTACAAGTGGATTAAAACTAAAATGTGAAGAGATATGAAGTTAGTGGTGGTAAATACTATTTATATACTATTGTAGTTTTTTATTTTATTTTTATTTTATTTTTATTTTTGTATTTTTTTTCGTTTATGTTTAATTTAAGTAATGTTTTTTTAAAGGAGTAGTTCACTTTTGAAAAAAACTTTTGCTGATAATTTACTCACCCCCATTAAAGGAAAGAAATTAAAGTTTTTGATGAAAACTTTCCAGCATTTTTCTCCATATAATGAACTTCAGTGGGAACCAAATGGTTCAAGGTCCAAAAGACAGTTTCAGTGCAAACTGCAAACTGTTCAAAGGGCTTTAAATGATTCCAGACGATGAATATGGGTCTTATCAAGCGAAACGATTGCCCATTTAATAAATAAATAACAAAGTTTAAGTTTTATAGGCTCAAATGCTTGCCTTGCTTTCTTCTGTGACGCGCGTTTGTGACTCTCCTGTTTGAACTCGTTCATCAAAATGAACTAATCATTTTCCGAGTCATTTGGTTCATTCAACGAACGAAACAAACGAATTGACTCGTACAAAGATTCGTTCATTTTGATGAACGAGAAAAATGCTGGAATGTTTTCATCAAAAACCTTAATTTCTTTTCGACTGAAGAAAGAAAGACATAGACATCTTGGATGACATGGGGTGGAGTAAATTATCAGCAAAAGTTTTTTGAAAAGTCAACTACTCCTTTAACATTTCTAATGTCCTAGTTTTCAGTTCAGCTTTATTCCAACAATCAAAATTTTAAGTTTCAGTTGATAAGAACCCAAGTGGTGAAGTAATGGAGAGCCATACCTCCCAATAGGAGGGACACTATGAGGTTTGAAGCCACTTTGATGCTGCAGAGGTCATGTGTGTCAGAGCCACCCTGAAGAGTTCGGATCATTTCAGAGAGAGCCTCGGGCACCCCTGCTTCCACAAACTGCAGCTTCAGAGCATCTAAGAGACATGAACATGCGGTCACACGGGGATTTGCAAGGACACGCACAAGTACATTTTCAGTTCACTTTCTAGACACAGTGACTGAAGTGCAAGATTCAGTCTTTTTTCAACCAAAGTACTCAATACAATTAATGTTTTAAACAATCCAGGCTCATGTATGGACCTGGTTTAAACATTTTGCTCACCACTCTCTCCCAGTGACCCAAGAACCTCTAATATGAGATGCCGGCGTTCAGCGTCCGGTGCCCGCTTCAACTGATATGTCAAAACCTCCGCCACACCCACTTCTGCCAGAGCCTCTCGTGCAGCATCTGAACACAGTGGCGTACCTCAGAATGAATCACTAGATCTTGTATAGATACAAGAGACATTATGAAAAAAAAACCTGAATATTTATGTAAATAAGAGTAACTGAGAATGGGACGGCAATAAAAACAGTGTTATGAATGCATGATATATTGGAAGCAAATTGGCATGCTCATTTTTACTTTTAAATTTTAACTTTGCCCTCATCTAATAACCCCTACTTAAAGGGATAGTTCACTTTGAAATTAATTTTTGATTTAATTAACCTCCTTTATATGACTGATTGACACGAACGGTTTGACTTAAAAATACCAAACTACTGTCGAAACAAAGACACCTACATCTTGGATGCCCTTGAGGTAAGCTAAAACATACCAAAAAATAAAAGTTAATCCTTTAAAGTTAATCTTATAAAGTTAATACATATAAATAACACTTTAGGACATCTTCAAATGAATATCCATGTTTCATACTGTATATTTTAATGTTGTGATGCTTAAATTCACTTGTATTTTAGTTTTTTAAAGATTTAATTTTAGTTTATTCAAACAAAATAATATTAAATGTAAACATCTGCCATTTATCGGTTATGCAAAAAAATGATAAATAGTTATAATAATAATAACATCAAAATTATAAATAAATAATATAATATAAAAAATAATAGCCCAGAATATCAACACTGGTCATATACTGGTTAAATAAAGAAATACATAAATACATAAATAAATAAATCTCCCAGAATTTTAGGCCATGAAGTCTAATAGTAATGAGAAGAAAGAAAAAATCATTTTTTCCAGAATAAAATTTAAAAAAAAAAAAACAGTGTATCTGTACCAAGTGTGACAATTTCTAGTCAGCCAGGGTTTTCATTATGTATGATTTTAGAGCTTCCTTGCTTCTATTTTTGTCTTACCCACATCAGCAAGGTTGCAGAGTGCCAGCAGGCAGACATTTACCAGCGGGTCATTCTCAGGATACTGCTGCATTATGGCCACCAGCCTCGGGATTACTCCATTCTCCACCAGCTGCATCTGCTGAGCAGCTGAGAGAGAGAGACATGGGGCGTATGGGTAAGTGGGCGCACAGGGACAGACAGCCAAGAGAGGGATGGGCATTGAGAGCAATAGAAGATGTGAGAATAATCATGGAGAGAAGTGCACAGAGAATGAATGGTGGTTTACTTTATTCTGAATGTGCGTAATGAATGCTCAGCATGAACAGGTTGCCGCAAACCAAGCCTCAACAAAACAAGAGCAGAATATACATTATATTTAAAGCATCTGTTTAGCTAGGAAGTTTTTACTTTTTGACTAATCACAAACTGCATAACCAACCTGAGGAACAGCAAGCAGCCTTTAGAATATGAAATTCAACATAGACCACTTTCTTGTCAGCACAAAGGCAGAGAAAACTAGGCCATGAGATGTTGACAAAACAGAAAGTCAATCCAAGGACTTAGAAAGGATCAAAGAATCCCTTCAAGGAATCACAAGGATCAAAGCACACATAACTCCACACTACACGCCTTTATACCAGATGTAGATAGACAAATATCAGGAGACTACAGGTGAAACTCCAAATGAAACTCTGTGGTAAGAAAACTGTTAGAAACCAAAGCAAAAAAGCTGAGTGGAGACGTTAATTCAGGAATAGTTTGACTCACCATTTTCAAAGCAGATCCGTCCAATTGCACGGCCCGTGTGAAGCAGCTGGTCCTGGTCTGTACTTTTCAGTAAAGGGACTAATACGGTCACCAGACCTGCTTCAATACAGCGCTCCCTCACAGTAGCTAACACACACAAACGCACAAACGTCATGCTTCACATAATGGTAGAAACCTCACATTGCTTAATATTGAACTTCTTATTCTATTATGCTTAATACAATTACCTGAGTTGGAAATTATTTTCCTAACCTTACCCGTTACAAAAGAATTTGTAATGGCTTTAAAAAGAAAGGTTCCAAAAGGTTGTTTTTTCTGCCGAAGAACCATTTTGGGATCCGCAAAGAACATTTCAGTGAACAGCTCTTAGAAAAAAACTTTCTTTTTTTTCTTAGCGAAGAACAATTCAAAGAACATTTTTCCACTATAAAGAATGTTTTGTGGAATATAAAGATTCAGTGGATGTCAAAGGTTATTCATGGAAACACTGATGTTAATAAAGAATCTTTATTTTTAAGAGTGTGCATGTGACATTATTTAGTCCTTTATTAGTCCATTATTTAGTGATCTATTGAGCTGTTTATTTAAAGGAGAACTCTGGTCAATTTTAATATTGAGCTAATTTTTGGAGTGCTGTCAGTACAGACAAAAACGACAGAAATCGGTGTTGCCTACATCGTGTTATCCTCTTTTTAAAATTTGCACCCTGTTGACTTCAATGGGGCATGTTCTAAACCTGCTTTTAGCCTCTTAACATCCTTGATTTGTCATTACAAGTGCACAGCCATTTGAGTGGTGTTATTAAGAGTGACCACGATCAATCTGACTGCAGTAGATGTGAAAGATATGAATAAAAATAATGTTAATCAAGCCAAAAATTTACTATCTAAAAGCAATACATTTTACAGCTTTTATTAAGCACTTAGTGTTAGTTAATAAAAAAATTGGAAAAAAAAATTGTTCATTGTGTGTTTATGTTAGTGCATTCATGTTAACGGATACACATTTTGATTTTAATAATGTATTAGTAAATGTAGAAATGAACATTAACTAAGATTAATAAATGCTTTAGAAGTAGTGTTTATCGTTAGTTGATGTCACCTAATCTACACAAGTAACATTATCAAACAAAACCTTATTTTAAAGTGTTGCCATAAATAAAAGGCTTTTGAAAAGTAATAATAAATGAAGAATAATAAGCTTCAAAGAATCTGATGGCTTAAAAAGGTTGAAGTTGACTCTAATATAAATGTCATTTACCTTCTCTGGCTATCTCTGCCACCAGTAAGGTGACCTGAGAGGTGAGGGGACTCTTCTTCCTCAGGACTTGAGCCAGAATGGGCAGAACACCACTGGACACTATTTTCTCTGCTGTTCCTTTCTCTGGGGATAGAAATAGATTTGATTCGTTTCTTTTCATGTTTGTAATATCTATACAATGTCTAATACACACAAACATATGTTAGTGGGTATATAACAATGCATTCTCATCCAAAGGCGTCATAACTGACACTTTTGACCATGCTTCAACATCCAATGCTTTAGGCAACCTTTAGCATCAGTTGGATGACGCTGCATCATCAAACTGACGCTTTACCTTTAGTTGTATATTTTGGATTTATTTTTTAAAAATACTTACCTTGATCTGAGCGTTACAAGACTTGGCTACTTTCCTAAGTTTGCCTCCTGAACACACAATTTTTTTGACTCAATTCTACAATGTTAAGTGGGTAGAAAAAAAAACTCCTTAATCTTGTATTTGGGTCAAAATGGGCACCCATAGAAATGAATGGGAAAAACTGTAATTTAGAGCATTCTAAAATAAGGCAAACTAAGACACCAGGTGACAGCAAAGTCACTCTTTAAGTTTTAGCTCTAAGAACTTATTGGAATGGTATTTTAATGTAGTTAAAAAAAATTTTAAAAATAAAACATAAAAATAAGCATAATTTACATGGATAAAATATGGTATATTTTGAAGTAAATAAATTCAAAAATACCCCCAAAATGTAAAAAAAAAAACACCATAAATGGATAGACAAAACTTTATCGAAGACAGTGATATAACATTTATAATAAAAAAAATTAGGATCACACCTGAGTCCTCTGTGCCCACATTTGTCCACAATTACAAGATTAAGGGCTATAAAGTGAATACGGTTTGAGGGCTACTAGATACAATTCTGCGGCAAATCGATATTCTCTCACCATTATTGCAACCAAACATGATATCCCCTTTGAATAAAACCAACTGAATGTGTTAACAAAGGTTCCCTATTTTTTTTTTTACAGATGTCAAAATCAATTTCCAACCACCCTTTTTTCTTTATTGTTCATCCTGTTGCTTCACTTTTTCTTTTATCTCCTCCCTCACTCCAGAGATGCTCTGGCATCCGTTCAAATTCACAGTAGTTGACAAGGATCTGCCCTGGAGACAGAGATGCTAACAGGAGAAAATCTGTCATTAAAGCAGGTTCTCCTCAAAAAAGATATCCACAAGGGCCACGGTGGCAGGTCAAGCTGTCAGAGGAAGCGTAGCTGCTATGGTAACATCTACTTTGTGTTCTTTTGCGGGGGCTGCTTTCCCATTTTTGCAATCCGAAAGCACAAGGAATGTGCCAAGAAGGGCCAGCTGGTGCAAACTAATGTGAGAATGAGCAGAAGATGAGGAGTGAAGTGGAGAAAAGAAGAGACAGAATAATGAGATTAACCCTTTCTCTACTTCGCCTTCCCTCTCTCAAATGTAAATGCAGATTATGCATAGGGATTACGTGTCTCCTGCTTGTGCCCCAAATCTGCTAGGAGGAAGATAAACTGACCCTCTACTGCCCCCTACATTGGATTGTCTTCCCACACAGTCACACACACACATACTACTTCAAGGAGGCAGAGGCAAATAGCAGCTCACAGCAGGATGAGTATGTTGTAATGAGTGTGACGCTAAATGATGCCCTCACACAGTAGGGCATCTGGCAAAAACACGTCACTTTCACATGTGATCAAGACTTTTTAGTCTCTTGTATGGAGGATCATGGCACCAGGATTGGATGTTGCAATCAATGTACATACAGATATGGATGAAAAGATGCATTTATGGATTGATGGGCTGACAGATACACAGATTTATAAATAGTAGTTAATGAGCACATTGGTGTAAACTCACTCTTCTCTAATAGGAGGGTAAGCAGAACATCCAGATGAGGCTTCAGCTCCTCCTCCACCAGCTCTGTGCTCACAGTGATGGCTTTCAGGGCCTCGCTGAGAGATTCTGAAACACAATCATGAGAGTCACCACATCACGATCCCCACCGCACAACATTTCAAAATAACAAGCAGATTTAAGTGTCTCTGAGACATTTTTCATGAAGATTCATAACCATCTCAGTTATAGTTGAGTTTATCCATGCATCGGTGAATTTCCCATGTACATCATACAAAATTATAATGAAGTGCACTAAATGTCTGTAATGATATTAGGAATTTTAATGTTATTGGTTATTTATTTGTGCATGCTCACATGCTTCATTTAGATTACCTTTAATGCACACTTAAATATAATCTTGAAAACACTAATAATTGAATAACAGTGTTATTATATAATAGTGTTATAATTTAATAACACTCTTACATTAACTTGTAATAATAATAAACTGTATGTTTAAAATTTAAAGGTGCAGTGTGTAGATTTTAGTGGTTCGACATCTAGCTGTTCGGTTGCGAGTTGCACTAATGCTCACCCCTCCCGTTCGAAGAAACTACGGTGGCTAAAACGGGACAAACATATCGTCGTCTGAGACAGCAGAGAATAGCCAGAGTAAGCCAAGAGTGTGTAAATAAATAAATATTACATTTTCATACTGTACATCAAATTTCTACAAAATTATGTGCATGGATACACTGTTTAAATAAAATACACAGCAATGAATGAATGGTCAATTTTAATTTCATGACTTAAAAGACCAAATGAAGATGCCTGTGGACAAACATGTCAATGTGATTTAATTTCAGCCTGCTGTGATATTCTTCACACCATGAACATTTGTATACATGTGTGCATATATCCACAAATACAGTCGAACACTTTCTGCATTTGCACTCTTTGATGATGACAGGAAGCAAACAGGTCCAGAAAGAGAGAAACAGAGACGATTCGGTATCTCTTCTGCAAGTAATCACCCTGATAATCCCTGGTAAGCAGAGTGAAAATAGACACAGAGGAGGTCTATCATACATTTCCCTTGCCCAAACTCCCTGTGATCCATTCATAGGCACAATAGATATGTTCTGCGATATCAGCCCTCTCCATTATAGGTGTAAAGGGCAGGGATGTAAAGCAGCAGTATGTGAGCTGGGCGGGGTTGAGGATACCCTGGGGCTCTCATTAACTCTGGATGTCTGTCTCCCAGCCAGCATGCCCTTATTTCAACACCCACACGCTGAGGATATACCTCTCATACAATTGGGGTTCGGCTCACCTGGCGGGTTAATCACAATTCGATTGCTCGGAACCTAAGTGTGACCTTTAGAGGCAGAAAGGGTGTGTGTTCAAAGTTAAACCTCATATTGTGGTTAAAAAACTTGCAGAAGAACCAAAATAGGACAGAGAGAAGAGATCTGAATCACTCACCTATGTCTGCCATGACCACGGGTCCTCTGAGCCTCCGCGAGTGTCTCGGCGGCGCGTGGTTAGAGACAGCCCTCCTCAAGGCAGGATGGAAGAAGACTCCAGCCCTGAGAATGCCTGAAGTCGGTAAAGCAACCTAGCCTCTCTCTCCTCTGCTCGGTTCCTCACCCTTCCCGTTTGTGCTGATCACACATGCGTATTATTCCTTTGGTCCCTCGCTGTCATTCCCTCCCTCACTTTCACTCTGTGCCTCTCAGTGACGCTGCATCCACTTTGGCTAATTCGCCTTATTATTTCTGTGTGTGTGTGTCTCTCTCGCCGATGCAATCCTCCCGCCCCGGTCCTCGGCTGTCTGGCAGTACTCTTGCTGCCTCTCCCTCCTTCCTCATAATACACTCTAAATCCTAAAGCTGCTCAAAGCTCATCAGTTGACAATTAGCCCAAGAAGACGCTGAGGCTAACACACAACACTCTGCACACTGCAGTTCAACCGCTCCATCTTTGGTGTTATTGCAGAGAAAACGTGAAATTTGAACACTGCTGTGGCCCAGGAGGCAGACTAGCAGCTATTTATCAAGATATTAATATCTGTCTCAGTGGGGGAGACTGATTTAAAGAGACAGTTCACACACAAAAAAATTATAATTTCCCTGGTCACTGAGCAAAATGTCTAAGCTGCTGTTTTTTCTTTATAATGAAAGTGGATGGGGACCAGCCAAGGACTGCAATGCAGCTGGAACAAGCAAAAAAAAGGGAGGCGAGGGAGGGTAAATGATGTTCAGAGAACTATTTCCACACCAATGGACAATAACGTTATGTTATACGAGTTCACACATATAATTAGAGTGGACGAGATTTAATGCTTATTTGGCGTGCTGACCGGGGGAAGGGCTCCGAGCTCGGAATTTGGCCCGAACCCAGAATACTTCCCCCATGTAAGTGTTTAGGACTAGACATGTGGAGAAGGAGGAGGAGGGATGCTGCTAAACTATCAATGGAGTGAGGTGAGATTGCTGAATCTCTTATCATTGACTGCTGAGTGCACTCCACACATGTTAATTAACTGAGCGTGCTCCTCCCGAACTTTGTTAATAAAACATAATTTATTATAAGCACACTACAGTTAGCCTATGTCGTCTGCTGCTTTAAATGCTTTCAAATTGGATGGACTCTTATTATGGCAGACGTTTAGCAGCTGTAAAAAAAAATTGTGATTCCAATGAGACATGTTCCTAGATCAAAATCTTTTATTGATCCTAGAAAAACAATTCTGTTCAAAAAGGCCTAACCCTACCCACAACTTACAACCCTTGTTCCTAAAATTGAGATTAACTCTCTAATCTGATTGGTTAATTGAAACATTGTTCAACTAGATGTTTAAATTAAGTTCCCCATTGTAACTCTGTGTTGTTATCATTATAGTTGTGGTGAACTTTTACCCGAAATCCAGAGTTATCGCAAGAGCGCAAACTGAATTTGCTCAGCAAATTTTTGTTAAACAATTTCTGGGTCTGGAAAATCAAATTTGGGTCTGGATTTCCAGGCTATACATTTTCTTATAGTCTAATAGTCTGTTATGTTCCCTAGTACACTGTTATGTTTTAGATTTGCTATAATACTTTGATTTACCATGTTAGTAAATGATTAATTCCATTGAATTACCATATTTGTGGTGCACATTTTATGTATTTACTTAAAAATGTAAAAACCAAAACAGCCTGGCCATATTGTATCTTTTACATATGTGTGGTCGCATCTAAGTGTGTGCTTCAATTCAGACCGATATAAAAAAAAAATCACAGAGTCATTTCCATCCACCGTAATGGTTAGTAGCAGCAGGTGGCAGTATGAGGCCGTCATTCAGTTGAGAAGAAAATTTAGCTTTGGGGTTGATTGGTCTAAAAAGAAGTTGTTGACTCAATTCTTTATATATATATATATATATATATATATATATATATATATATATATATATATATCAGAACTTATATATATATATATATATATATATAAGTTCTGATGCTTTTATATGAAAATAAATATGTTGAACAAGACACTGCAGACAGATATTATTGAAAGTAGGGGAGAGCGGGGCACAATTAATTAAAAAAAATAATTAGGTTAGATTAATATTTTTTTACACAAGCAACATGCACATCTCTGCTACAAATGAACACTAAAGTTTTTTCTAGGACCTACCATTTTCGTTCAGTTGCACTGAAAGTGACAGAAGTGCAAATGTTACAACTTACCCCATATGCGGGGTTAATTGTAACAGACAGAGGGGTTAGTTAACACTTGTGTGTAACACACATAATTCAGTACTAGGCTACTTAATTCCTTTCAAGAGACGTGTTTTTTAATTATTTTTATTTTAATGCAGACATGTTTTATATATACTATATATTTTTAAATACAACAACAATCGCATAACCCATAGAGAGATCACACTGCCAGAGAGTTTGGGAATATTCACACATAAATTGTACACTTATAAAACATGATATAAGAGTTTTAAAATCAAATATTTTAAAGGAGAACAGTGCATAACAGTTGTTTAAACCAAAGAGCCTTAAAGGAGTAGTTCACTTTAAAAAAAAAAAAATTGTTGCTGATAATTTACTCACCCCCATGTCATCCAAGATGTGCATGTCTTTCTTTCTTCAGTCAAAAAGAAATTAAGGTTTTAAATTTCTTAATATAAGTGCTTGAACAGTTTTCCAAATGGGGAAATGTGCAGTTTGTGAGCTGATGAAAAGATGATAAAGGAATATCAAATTATAGCCTACCTATTAAATGTGTCTGCAGTGCAGAATTAATCGACATAATCTAAAGTCGAGACAGCTTTTATTGAAACGAGGAAAAAAAATGTTTAAAAAAAGTTTATAAAGACATGAAAACACTTGGAGCAAGTTGTTTGCTTTTTGTCTTGTAATTAGCTGCAGCCAGGTGTTCTGACAATTCATGCTACCAGAGATGCTACCCATCGAGATTTGCTACTTACCGGTTATGCGCATGTGCAGACTCCGTTTTTTTTTTTTTTTTTTTTTTACAAAAGGTACATTTTCCTGTCTGTTATAATGTATATTTTCCCTTTAAAAAATGCTTACTATCATATGAATATTTGCACGGTCAGCCAGCTGAAAAGGAATAACAAAGTTTCAGTTACTATGAGGAAAGGTCCTTTGACAAGTCAAAGATGAATATTTTATGATAATTTTTACTTTTCACACCGTTTTAAAAATAAAACAGTAGTCTACAGTATACATTAACTTAGAATTGTATTATATTTGTATTTCATACGACTTTAATCGGCATTCTGTAGCATTTTTCGACAAGGCAGCAAAAGTGTCTCTCCCTGGTGTCTCTTCTTCAAATGGCTCTCTATTGGCTTCCTCTTTCGCTTACGGCCATACCACCCTGAACACGCCCGATCTCGTCCGATCTCGGAAGCTAAGCAGGGTCGGGCCTGGTTAGTACTTGGATGGGAGACCGCCTGGGAATACCAGGTGCTGTAAGCTTTTGCTTTATCTCCATTAATGGCTCGCCTCTGACGGTTGTTCCTTTATACTTTTAAATTCAATTGCCTCGTTTTCTTTCATTTAGCTTTTTTCTGTTTCTGTTCTGTCTGCTTTCGATGTGGCAAGGACAGCTGACCTCGTCTTTCTTTCTTTCTCCTCCAGGGGGCGATCGACATTCTTTTTTTCTCTGAGTGAGTCTACAAAAAAAATCAACAAACATTCACACGTTCACCATGAACATATGCTGCAAACTTCTCTCCACATAAATGCAGGAAATTGTGCGAAATGCGAACATGTGAATAAACGAAATCTATGTGCATATTGCGTTCCCTAATTGCAAGTTAAATTCACTACACATAGGCTACAGGGATGGAGTTGGTGAGAAGCAGCATTTTCTGTGTCGAACCGAGGTCGTCTGAGAAGCAAAAACATCTGAATGCGTCCAACACATCCGTGTGTTTTTTACTCTGAAACATGCAGTTGCAGTACAACAGACTATTAAATCACAGCTATAGCCTGTCTGAATTTTATTACGATTAATTCTGCAGCCACATTTATAATTTTTTCATTCCGTTTAATTAGCTTTTCATCGACTCACAAACCACCTGCACTTCCGTCACAAACCCCGTATTTGGGAAACAGTGAACTACACCAATGAAATAAACAGTTTAATCAGAATCCAATTAAGTAAAAGCCCCTTCATATCACCATATTTTCCTACAGATTAATCACAAACTGTTAATTAAGCAACTCAATGCACAAATAGAAAAAAGTTAATTTAGTTATGCAAATTAGCATGGAACATCCACCATCCAATCAGATATTGGCCCCACTTCAGCAGGGTACAAAACCATGTCTATGCAAATAACTGCATGCTTTCTACCGACTTCTGATGACAAATGAAACCTTAAAGAGATAGTTCACTTTGAAATTAATTTTTGGTATGTTTTAGCTTACCTCAAGGGCATCCAAGATGTAGGTGTCTTTGTTTCCGCAGCAGTTTCAATTTTGATATTTTTAGGTCAAACCGTTCTTGTCTGTCAGACATAATGCAGGTCTATGGTCACCACCTCAAAGAGTATTCACAGAAAAGTCCAAATTAAACATGATTTAATGACTCGTAAAGTACACATTGATGGCCTAAGACACGAAACGAGCGGTTTGTGTGAGAAAATGAACAGTAGCTATTTATATCGTTTTTACCTCTTGTAACCACAGCCACGTGATCTGAGGGCGCTGGTGCTTCGGTCTGTGCAAGCGCCGGAAAGCGCCAGAATAAAAATTATATGTATAACATTATATATATATAGTATACATTTTTGAAACTATATTATTATTTCACTAAAAGCATTGATGAAACTCGGGCCTCATGATGTTGGCATTCAATGCACTGGAATATCATTAGAGTCAAAGACCTCTATAGACACGTTTGTGCCCAGTGAATGATTTGATAATGCTCTTATTTCGGCCTCTAACCCGAAACCAAACAGACAAAACATGACAGCAGAAAATAAGGTTCACATCTGCATAAACAAAGGGTCTACTGAAACTCCTACTGAGACCTTTCTTGCAAATAAATCAGAGTCAGGAGATCAAGGGTTGGGGCAAAAAGTCAAATGTCACTATAAACATCCATTCTGACCATTCACATTCTGACCATTCTCCTTGTGTTGTTTAACCACTTTTGGCCAGTTCAAGAACAACACATCTCCATGGGACAATATTGACAGTATATATAAAACCATTTAAAGTTTAGGGCCAGTTTTCTATTTTAAATAAATGTGGTTCCTTTTAACTTTCTATTCATTAAAGATTAAAAAAAAAATGAATCACAGTTTCCAAGCTCAAAAATGTTAAACACAACTGTTTTCAACCTTACTAATGACGAGAAATGTTTCTTGAGCAGAAAATCATCATTTTTGAATGATTTCTAAAGGCTGGAGTAATGGCTGTTGAAAAATCAGCTTTGCCATCATAGAATAAACTACATTTGAAATAATATATTATAATTCACAAAATTACTATCTTTACTGTATTTTGA